GAAAAGCTCAAGCTGGGCTCGGCTCGGCTCGGGCTCGATTACACTGAGCCGAGGAAATGAAGAAGAAACTTCGCAGAAGCAACAGAATCGAAACTTTAATACGCGTCCAATATTTAATGGATTTGCTTATGATTCCTATCCTATGCTTCAATATGCGTGTAACTCACGTGTGGTGGGTCCCGCATCACAATAGAAAAATAAAAAAATTTAACCCCTGTGAGTTATCGGTGGGAAGAAAATGTTTTGCATGTAATGACAGTTTTATGTCCAAATTCCGTGAAAATAATGTAAAACAACTTTTTTTTTTTAATCATATTTTTAAAAAATAAATACATAAAAGTGTTAAATAATATTTTTTCTTCATTTCAAAGTATGACAATAAAATATTTTTATATAAATCATAATCAAGAACGAGACGTACTCATTAATTGAAGGTTGAAGATAAGAATTCGATAAAAAAAAAGATAAAAATAAAAATTACAATGATGAGCAAATATTGAGGACTTAACTAAAATTAAAATATGGTGTATCAAATAAAAATTGTGACTACAATATAACTACCCTATTTTAATATTTTCAAAGGAAAATGACAGCCGGTGGGGGATTTTTGGAAATCGAGGTGGGGCTCCTTTTAGCTCTGTTTACTTATTTTTATTTTTTTTAAATACTATTTAAATTTAAACACAAAAAGAAAATAAAATAAAAAATAAGAGTCGAGATGGGGGATTCTTACCAAATGTTACTTCTCTTTCGCGGCAATTTCCTTTCTCAGATTGCAGTTTGTTTGGCGGACCAATCATTTTTGAAATTAAAAAGAAAATAAAATGAAAAAAGAAAAGGTCGTCTCCTCTCTCATATCCCACTTGCATACAATTTCGGACCGAGGTTCTATTTTCATTTGATACGTCATATTTTAATTTGAGTTAAGTCCTCAATATTTGCTCATCATTGCAATTTTTTTTTAAACTTTTTTTTGATTGCTGTCCTAGTTGCAAAGCTGGCTGAAGTTGATGTGCAATGGTAACTAGCATTTTCGATGTTGCTTCACTTTATTTTTTTCATTATTCTTTTCTCAATTCTGTCCATATTTTTCCCTTTTGAGCTATTTTGAATTTGTGATACAGACAACCTTTAAAAAGGGCATTGGACCATGTTGATCAAACTCCAACTTAGGTATTGTCTTTCTTCCTTTCTTGTATCCTTTTATACTTATTATAGACGCTAAATCATGATATTTTATTATCTTTTGAATTAAATTCTACCTAATTTATGTTAACTTGTATTTTGTAGGTAAAACTTCATGTTTAACGAAGAATTGAAGAAAAAAATGCGTGTTTAATTTCAATGTTATGAGTGACTAAATATTTTTATTGTTAGAATTGATGATGTAATTTAAAGTTTTTATTATATGTTTCATTTCAAGATTTTCATGTCATTTTGATATTTGTAAATTAATTATTGTGTGTTTTAATTGTTTACGCAACAATTAATTGATATAGGGATAATACTGAGATTGAGAGGTGATGTATAATTTTAGCTCGTGCAATAATTAACGTAGACATTATAAGAGATCGAAAGATAATTATAGATTATGTGATCTTTGTTGAATTCCTATAGATTAATGCGTTCATATGTATGTGAATTTATATAGGGATATAATAAGTTCGGGCATATAAATAGGATTAGTGTTGCTCGAGAGAGATACTAACTACATCAAGTTAATTTGATCGTTAGCACGTATGAAAAAATGGTTGAATAAATTGGAATTAAATGTATGATAAATAACCTAAATGAAATCGGAAATCCTAATTATTCACTCATATAATCTTTTCTATAGTTTTAATTTGAATTTGTTACTTTTAATTAATCGTTTGTTATTTTATTTATCAGAATTTCATTTAGAAAACATAATTTGATTTGTTCATTAATTACTATTTTAATTTAAATTGAATATAGGTTCGTTTAAAAATTTATAGTATATAACAGTCTCTGCGAGTCGATATTCAGACTTGATAAATCAACTTTATTGTTTATCACGATCCGTACACTTAAGAAATTTCACGAACATATGCCAACCATATTATAGCTACAAGTCTAACAACAAGAAGGTAAACTTTTGTAGTATCTCAAGTTAAAATTGACAAGAAAAACTTTCTTAAATTAAACGAAAATAGGGGAGAAAATGCATGAGTCGATTTTTAACTCGAGTAGTGCTACAAGTACATCAAGGGTGACATGTGTCCATTATGTACACCATTATGGCACCCTTGATGTACAAGAAGAATTATCCTAATCCAAATACACATACAAAAGCATTACGAGTCACTGAATAAATGATTATTAATTAAAATATTTTTCTAATATTATAACTTATTTTATACAATTTTGCATCGGTAGTAATTTTTTTAAAGTTTTAGGTTTATTGTAAAATAATTTATTTCGTGATTTTATATCTAAATATTGTTTGGATATTTACCAACTTAAGAGCGCCTTATCAATTAGGTTAATTATAATATTCGTACATGAAAAAACGGTGCATGCAGACAATAAAGTGATATGATTTTTTATATATTATGAATAAAACTTCTATAAAATAATAATATTGGGATCGAAAGTTATTAATTTATCGATAAATGAATAATTTATTAATTTATAGAGTATTTTATATTTTTATAACCTGTATTATATATTACCATAATACATGTGGAGATTTTATTTTTTTTAAATATTGAATACCTTAAGAGGAAACATTAATGTACATTTTGAAAAAGAGGCGAATTAAAAAAATAATGTCAAATAAAATTGCTTTGGATCACAGCGGAACACGTATTTTACATAGAATTCACATATTCATGTGTTGTAGTGAACCACAATAAATAAAATTTTTGAATCAAGATGTAAATCAAATTACTGTCAGTGATATTATCTTGTATTACAAAATATAGGAGTAAATACAAAAATCTCCGATTTTGAGAACAGATTGATGATATTATCGAAATATTGGAATATATACGAAAATCACCAATTCTGATAACAGATTGATGATCGAGTTCCGGAATCATACCCTTGCAGATGCTCTTCAGTTGTGGCAGATATCTCAGATACAAATATTTTAAACATGGAAATGTGATATCTACGTTACTACTACTGTTTACTCCACCATTTTTGTTATCTTCTATTATCTCCTCCATTCGTGAACACCTTAGTAACAGTCAAGTGTTGGAGGTTATGGAAATTGTGTACCAAACTCTAAGGGAAAAGCTTCTACATTTTATCACACCTTTCAATCGTCAACGAGACAGGAAAATGAGCCAAGTGGAAAAGGTGCAACTGCTTCACACATGAAGAGACCAAAAAATTCTGGCAATTTTTCCAGGGACAACGATTGAAGGCTTTCAAATGGGGTCCCACCAGACTGTTGTTCTTCATTTGCAGATGACAACCTCATAATGCACTCTATTTTATCCTCAATATTTACCACTGTGCATGACTTTAAATCTCTAGCACTATTCAGAATTGGGAAATCATCTAATAAGCAACTACTCATGCCACTTCTAAAGTATAATTCCTCAATATCTCGTAGCAGCAAATTCTCATCTTTGCCTGAAGAGGATTCCATGTGACTGGATCAATAAATTTGGTGAATCAATCCGGGTTAGTTTGTAAAAATTCTAATTAAAAATCATCCCCAAAACCCTTTAAATCGACTGATTTTTTTAAAAAAATCATGACCGGCTTCCGATTTAGTCAGGTTAAAAGTGAAACGTTAAAAACTTAAAATTTAAAAGCATAAACAACAACAATTTATCTTTTCAAAACAATTTTTTATCACATACAACGCTACAATATTATCAACATTGTACAAATACCTTAATTATACTTCCCACTTTTACAGGACTATTCAAGGTAAATATCATCTTATTGTTTGGGTTTACATCTTATTTATATTATCTTTCTAATTTTTTATTGTTATTTGCAATGTTTTTTGAAAATCGGATCAGTACGATCGATTCAATAAAAAATTTGGGACTAAAATTGATCGGGGTTGACTTATTAAATTTCTAATTAAAAATCCTCCCAAAATCTCTTAAATCGATCAACTTTTAAAAAATTCGGGACCTGCTTCCAATTTAATCGAGTTAAAAGTAAAAACTTATAAGCATATACAATAGACTCTTGGAATTCTTATTTCTTACAGTAACTTTACTCTCTTAACCCATTCATCATTCCAATTTTCTTGAATCTTCTCTTCCAAAAATATCTCCAGCGTTTTACATCAGAAGTGGATCAGATACTCAGATTATTTGCCGTACGTTTCCTATTGATTCTTATTTCTTCGATGCATATTTCGCAAGTGAATGCTTGATTTTCATCTTTTGGGATTTCTTGATTTTGATCTTCTTATTGATCTTGAAATTGTTGGGTTTGGTTTGTAGTGTGAGGGAGTGTCTGCAGAGTGTGTCCCATTTTCCTGTGAGCTGAAATGGCGAGTTTTTAGAAATCGTTAAATTGCTCTTTTGACTGTATATAATAACGTTTGCTTGGGTAAGTCAGATGGTTGATTTTATTGAAATCGTTAAAAATGCTTTCTGATTTGTAAGCATAGACTTGGAGGATAATACAAACACACTTCGAAGAAAAATAGATTTGCGAAGTAGAAATGATGATTTGCACCCAAAATTACAAAATACAGTGTACATTCCTAAAAAAAAAAAGAAAAAAAACGCAAGAGAGGTTGAAGATTGGTTAGATCCTGTTGAAAACATAATAAAAAAATTTGAAATCTTGGGAACAGAAGTACAACGGGGCAGAATTCTTGCACGAAAATAGTTGAGTGAACAGGTTGAAATAATGACCAAGTGACGGAGCTTCTTGAGTAAGCTGATTTACTTAAAGAGCTTTATCTTGAGGTTGATGAGAGTATGATACCACTATTGGATACACCCAAACACAATGGCCGAGCATTTCTCCAAAATGTTGATGAAATTTAGGTGTCCTCAATGGATGATAGTGTCTTAAGCATTGGCATTTATGAAATGGCAGTAGGCAAAACAACTCTGGCAATGCATGTCCATGATAAGCAATTAGAGGAATCCACATTCTTTGGTCTTGTTTATTGGATCACAGTCTCTGAAGAGTTTAACCTTTAGGTCCTTTACAAATTGCAGAATGAAATTGCCAGTGTATTGAAATTAGATATATCATTTGAGAATGATGACAGGAAAAGGGCAGCTAAACTCTCTCAGGCATTCAAGAAAAGGGAGAGATTTGTACTAATGTTGGACAATGTCATGAAACAAATTGATTTAGAGGATATTGGTATTTCTGTAGGAATGAATGGATGCAAGTTGGTCATAACAACTCAATCAGAAGAAGTTTATCAATGGATGGTGCCAGAGGATTATAAAAGTAAAAACACTCCCCCATCAAGAAGCTTTGGAACTAATCTTGAAGAAACTTCGCAGAGTTGAACTTCATCACGAGGTAGAAGGGATTTGCAAGAAAATGGTAAAACGGTGTGGTGGTTTGTCACTTGCACTTGTCAAATTGGCCAAAAGCACGAGGGTAAAGAATGACATTCAAGATTGGAGATATACATCAGGGGTACTGAAAAATTCATGCATGGGACTTGCAGTCATGGAAAATGATGTTTTTCCAATACTCACGTATAGTTATGAACAACATGTTGATCAAACTCCAGCTTTGGTATTGTCTTGAATCCCAACCAACCATATTAGCTAAGCATTCTTTTACAAGCCTGACAAACAAGTAAACTTTTGTAATATCTCAAGTTAAAATTGACAAGAAAAGTTTCCTCAAATTAAAAGAAAATACAGGATGAGTCAATTATTAACTTAATCGAGATGTCAAGATGCTAGGAATAGTCGAGCTTAGATATTATCACAACACCTGGAAAATGCTTAATAATCCAAATACACACAAAATTTCGAGTCAATTAGGACGGGCCAGAATAGATGATTAATAATTAATGTATTTTGCTAATATTATAACTTATTTTGTACAAATTTGCATTGATAGTAATTTTATTTAACTTTTAGGTTTATTGTAAAATAACTTATTTTCTGATTTTATATCTAAATGTTGTTTGGATATTTACTAATTTGTGAGAACCTTACAATATTCTTACATGAAAAAGGTGCATCTTGTTAATTAAATATAGACGATAAACTGATATGATTTTCATATTTAAAACTATAATTTTGAATTAATGATTCTGTAATTATTCGTATTAAGCGTTAACTATGTAATAATTATACAGTAAAATATGCTATCTTTTTGGATCATGCGTACAAAAAGTATATTTAAAAAAATATTTATCGGAATTAATTATTAGGAGACCAAAAGAAAAGAAAAACATGCTTAAAATTAATGAGGTGATGGAATAGATACGTACCTGTGAGCGGATAGAGTTTGATCAAACACCTTCTTCAGTTATCAACAGGGCTGGAGCCAGTATTAGAAGGTTGATCCTGGGCTATCCAGCAGTGCTCATCAAAGTATCTTACCAAGTGTTCAAGGACGCTGTTGGCATTGTGATGGTCCCAATCCAATGATTCCCACCATTCTTTATCTTCTCTACATATCCAAATTAATATAAGAGATGGGGGTGGAGATGGTTGTCCATCGAGAAGCTGCAGATATAAAGGCACTTTCTTTATCCTTTTAATGCCCTCCAAATGAATGTGCCGAATGGAATCACAACTAATCAACACCTTGCAGATGCTCTTCAGTTGTGGCAGATTCCTAAGATGCAAAGTAAGTAACCTTGGAAATGTGATATCAGCACTACTAATGTTTCCTCCTTCATTCTTGTCATCTTCTATTATCTCCTCCATTTGTACACAGTTAAAGACCAAATGTCTCAATTCCTTGAGCTTTTCCAAGGATGGCATCGATTCCAGTTCATTACAAAATTTCAGCAGTAATGTTCTAAGATTCTCCAAGTCTGAAATAGAATTTGGCAAGTTCTGAATTTTAGTGAGACTCAAATTGAGAGTGCGTAGACCGCACATGTGGGCAAAGAAACAATCTGGAATCCTCTTCAAAGGATTGCCACTCAAAATTAATGTTGAAAGTCCAGGACACTTGGGAAACGTGCCAGGTGAAATTTCCTTTATGGAGTTATCCATCAAGGAAACCTTATCCAAATCTTCTGTCCACTCTTGCACATCTGGTATTTCCCTTAAGTGAAGTCCAGCTTTTACCATGTATCTAGGGTTATCTTTAGCGATCCCTATTACCATGTCTCTGATCAAAACATGCATCTTCACATCCGTACCATTTGAAGTCCTTTCCAGTAAGCAGACTCTCTCCAATTGATTCAGTATTGCATGACCTAGGTCAATCTCGGCTCTAAAGCTTCTATTACTTCTCTCCACCAGCTTTTCTGAAATGAAATTTTCAATCAGTTCGCCTCTTGGAATATGACAGTCTTCAGGATACAGGGAGCAATGCAAGAAACAACCTTTTAGCATTGTATCTCCTAATTGATCATAACTATTTAAGAGTATTGGCAGAACCCCATATTCCATGCCAGCTTGTCCCATACATGATTCTGCCAGTCTTTCCAATGCATCTCTCCATTCATGAATGTCAGTGACCTTCCTCATGCTTCCAGCCAATGTGACAAGTGCAAGTGGCAAACCACCACATCTTTTTACAATTTTCTTGCAAATCCCTTCTACTCGTGGATGAAGTTCAACTCTGCCAAGTTTCTTCAAGAATAATTGTACTCGTGGATGAAGTTCAACTCTGCCAAGTTTCTTCAAGAATATTTGCGAAGTTTCTTCAAGAATAATTGCCAAGCTTCTTGTTCAGAAAGTGTGTTAACTTTTATAATCTTTTGACAACCCATCCAATGACAAAATTCATTAGAACGACTTGTTATGACCAACTTGCATCCATTCATTCCTAGAGGAATACCAATCTCCTCTGCGTCAATTTGCTTCCAGACATCATCTAATATAAGTACAAATCTCCCCCTCTCCTTGAATGCGGGAGAGTTCAGCTGCCCTTTTGCGCTCGTCATTCTCACATGAGAAATATAGTTTCAAAATATGGGCAATATCATTTTGCAACTTGTAAATGCTGAACTCTTGAGAAACTGTGACCCAATAAACATGACCCAAGAATGTGGATTCCTTTAAGAGCTTATTATGGACATGCATTGCCAAAGTTGTTTTGCCTACTCCCGCCATTCCATAAATTCCAATGTTTAAGACGCTGTCATCCATTAATGACACCCAAATGTCAATACTCTCATCAACCTCAAGAAAAAGCTCTTGAGGAAAATTTAGCTCAAGAAGCTCAGTCACTTCCTCAGTCATTATTTCAACCTGTTCAGCCGGCTTCGTTGTTTATATAATCTGCCAAACATACTTCTTCTTCCAAGCTTTTAAATTCTGATATATTGTTTCCAACATCAACCAACCATTTTTCAACATTTCTCTTGCGTTTTCTTCCATGATGATATGCTTCCTGCACAACATCTTTTCGATCTTCCAGCAATAATATTTTTCTATGAAGAGTTTTTATATTTTCCTCCAAGTCTTGGCTTAGCCATGAGAAAACATTTTTAAAGATCTCTACAAACTGAGCCATGTGACTTCCTGCAGCAGTATTGTTATATAGTCAAAAAACCAAGAAAAACTATAGCTACTACTTTGAGAAATATTAAACCGTGGGGCATTTATTTGGCTGAAAGAAAACAAAATGGCGTCTCCTGCATTTTGTACAAAGTAAATCAAGAAAAATTTTCAAAACATTAATTTATTTCAACACATTTGAACATTTACAGAAACATTAAAAAAGAGATAATTCACTATTGTATTATTTAAATCTAAAAACTATAAGTTATTTTATTGACAACAGACTTGGTTAAGGTAGGAGATCGGAAAGCACTTAGAAAAGCAATTATTGAACCAATGGACTAACAGCAATCATTGTTCGTTTTATAATTGACTACGCAGAGTTTAAATAGTATTATTCTAAACTATTTAAGTAAGCTAACACCTAAACAATCAATTTTACTCAATTACCGGATTATTTGTCATAGGTTTTTTTTTTTTTAAAAAAAAATAGAAGTTTAATAAAATGGTAACTGAAAATTGCTTCAGATTAGTATATTTGACCTTTAATCACTTCAACTGAGCCAACACTCAAAATAATTGGGGGTGCAACATGGAACAAAAGTAAGTAAGAACCACATATTAATTAATTATTTATTTATTCAATCAGAATAATGATAACAAAAAACAATGACATGATTGAATTGAATAAATTAGGAAGATAATATAAATGAGATGTAAACCCCCAACCAATAAGATGATATTTACCTTGAATCCGAATCCCAAAACAATCCGGGCAAGGAGCGAATATCCTGTACAAGGAGCACTGTTCTGAGCAAAATGGTCGAAAATAATTTATACACAAAAAGGACACGAAATTATGAAAAACGGTCCAAACAGTGAAAAAAAGGAGGCAAATCATAGATCAAGAGTACATAAATTGAGTTTAATTTATAATAACAATAAATAATATGCAGTTTCTTGAATACGTTTAGAGAGAGAAACTGGGTACTATGGGGGTGATTGAAAAACTCAGATTTAGAATCGTTGGAACTACCATGGATAGTGGATCTCGGTGAGCTGATGGTGGTGAAGAGGTGGCGCTGCCGTGTACGGTGGAGAGAGAGCGGGTGAGAGAGAGCGTAAGGCCGACAAGATTTTAGATTTTATAATAAAGGTATTCAATCAGAATAATGATAACAAATAACAATGACATGATTGAATTGAATAAATTAGGAAGATAATATAAATGAGATGTAAACACCCAACCAATAAGATGATATTTACCTTGAATCCGAATCCCAAAACAATCCGGGCAAGGAGCGAATATCCTGTACAAGGAGCATTGTTCTGAGCAAAATGGTCGAAAATAATTTATACACAAAAAGGACACGAAATTATGAAAAACGGCCCAAACAGTGAAAAAAAGGAGGCAAATCATAGATCAAGAGTACATAAATTGGGTTTAATTTATAATAACAATAAATAATATACAGTTTCTTGAATATGTTTAGAGAGAGAAGCTGGGTGCTATGGGGGTGATTGAAAAACTCAGATTTAGAATCGTCGGAACTACCATGGACGGATAGTGGATCTCGGTGAGCTGATGGTGGTGAAGAGGTGGCGCTGCCGTGTACGGTGGAGAGAGAGCGGGTGAGAGAGAGCGCAAGGCCGAAAAGATTTTAGATTTTATAATAAAGGCAGGAGAGGTTTGAGGCGTGAATTAAATATCATTTTATAGCGAGGAACCTTGTTGATTTACCCTTGACGTCTAAAAATTAAACAAGATCCAATAAATATTCACGTATACGTTATATATCAAAAATAAAATATTCGAATTTTTAACTAAATTTGATTGTTAATTCTTGAATCACAAACTTCTAGTTTTATGCATCACGAGCTTTCAATTTTTAATTCCAAGAACTTGATGTTCCAAACCTCCAACTCTTCTATAATATTCTTCAAAGCCGAGAATATACGAATGGGTGAACACCTTCTATTAATTAAATAGAAAATTATTTCTTGGATAGAAGAATAAAATAATTTCTCACTCCAATATGAAATTAGGTATTATGTGTTGTTATGTTCGATATGATGTCGAGATTCATCTAATCGATAAAGAAGTTACAATCCTTGTACAACAATAATTCTAATTTCAAATAGAAGTCTTAATTGAAATTCAAGTGGGAGTTCTAATTAAAGTTTAAATCCAATTGGATTACATTTAAATAACTTTGATTACAATTACAATTAAGTTTGCAATTTTCATAGCAATTACAATTACGTACCAAACTTTATTATAATTATAATTAAGTCAACATTTCTATAATAACTAGTCTTTGCCCGTGCAA